TTACCAAAGGATATAAGCAAGAATAGAAAGACACGAGGAAGGTTAAGCTTCTTATCTCTCTCTCCTCTCTCTCTCTACATTTTCCTTCTTCACTGCTAATTCTCTCGCCGGAGGGTTCACTGGGGACTGTCCCGTTCCCCTTTGGACTTGCTTGCAGGTCATTTGACGGAATCATCACCCTAAACCGGAACCTGAAGAGCCTGGACCAGCCCGACCCATCCACCCGGGACGGACAGCATTATCAGTTGGCGCCGTCTGTGGAAACTTGTGGTTTATTCGTGCGCTAGTTGTGTTCACTATCGCCGGAGCCCTCCTTTCTCACCATTATCTTTTCCTCTCACCCGTCCAGGTGTATGGTCACGACTAGGTCCATGGCCTCCCACCATAATACCACCGATCACCAAACAGACCCTTCCCTCCAACAACCCACCACAATACATCATCGAACTTACTAACAGCATTAACCGCATGGCCAAGCAAAACTAGGCCCTGATCAGTGCTTTACTCCAAAGAAACCTTCCGATGCCTCCTCCACCACCTCCAGATATTCCACCCAACCAAGAAAGAGCCCCGAGCCATACTGTTCCGCAACCCTATCCACCCAACTTGAAAGGTTTGCAACCTTCTCCCCCACATATAAATCTACCACCTCTACCCCCACACCCGTCGGTCGTGGCACCAGCCCCTGAAGGGGAAGCCAGTAGCGTCCGGCCCCCATTGACTGACTGTGGTGACAACATTCCCCTCTGGGACGCTGAACTCCGAGCTATGAAGCTCTAACTACAAGGGGTCCTACAGAACATTCAGCACAAGCCCTTAGTCACCGCCAACTCGCCTTTTGTTGCCTCCATTCACGACAAACCATTGCCCTCCAAGTTCAAAATGCCTACCATTGACTCCTTCGATGGCACGACGGACCCAGTCGACCATCTGGAAACCTACCGCACCCTCATGATCCTCCATGCTTTCCCTGACGAGATCATGTGCCGAGCTTTTCCCGTGACACTGAAGGGATCAGCTCGGTTGTGGTTTAGCCAGTTACCGGCGGACTCCGTCTCCACCTTTCAACACCTCAGTGACTCTTTCCTGAGCCATTTTATCGGAGCCCAGCGTCAGAGATGCCCAGCCACCTAACTCCTAAACATTCGTCAGACCGAAGGGGAGTCGCTCCGCAGCTTCGTCACCCGCTTCAACACCGAGGCCCTTCAAGTAGCGGAGAATGACGACAAGGTCATCCTCACCGCTTTCATGGCCGGCCTGCGGTCGTCGGATTTCCTTTTCTCCCTCTCCAAACAAATCAAAAGATTAAAGTTTAAATTGACAAAATTAAAAATTTAAGATTTATTTTGTTATAAGAATTAAAACTTGAATTTTTTATTTTTTATTTATTTATTTTTTTGTTGTTGTAATTTTTCCAAATTATTTTCTTACCATGGACCAATTCAAAATATACATTTCAAAGGTTGCGTTATATTATATCCATATATCACCGTGACTTGGCTAGAGATATGAATATACAAATTTGTCAATGTATTTTTGGGTAGGTAAAAGGTTACAATCCTATTACTTTACTAAACAATTGCAAAGCTTTAAGCTCCATTTGATAAGACTTTCTAATTATGATTTGTGAATATGAGTTATATTTTAAGTTTATGTGTTTTGAAATTATAATTTGAATGTAAAAAATTTGTTTGGTTATGATTTTTGAATAGAATGTTGAATTGAATGTGGAATTGAGTTTTGAAAGTTTGATTTAACATGTGAAGTAAGAAAATTTGTTTGGTTATGAGTTTTGGAAAGAGTTTTCTAAACTTAATTCAAATTGTTATAACTCATAACAAAATGCGCTACTTTCATACTATTAAAAATTCTGATCAACACTCATAACCAAACTCTTTTTAAAATTCAATTAAAATTTTTTATTATTAACAGAAAATAACATTAATCAATTTTTTAAATGAAAATACTACAAAGAAAATAATTTTTTTTCAAAATAAATATTCAAAAAATTTAAATCATAAATATTTAAATAATTTAAATAGTGTAAAAAATTTAATAAGTAAAAAATTAAAATAAATATTCAAAAATTTTAAATCGTAAAAATTTAAATAATTTAAATATTCAAAAATTTTAAATAATTTAGAATTTTAATATTTTAAATTTAAAAACAACTCTACACTCAAATCATAACCAAACAAATAAAACAAAACTCATTTAAGAAATTATTTTTAAAATTCATAACCAAACACATAACTCGAAACTTCATACTATTTTCACAACTCTACACTCAAATCATAACCAAATACATAACAAAAAAATTAAAATATTTAAAAATATTTTTATAAAATAGAGTTTGAATTTATTTTTATAAAATATTTTAAAATTTTAAAAATTAAAATCGTAATATTTAAAAATATTCAAAAAATTAAAAAAACCGTAATATTTAAATATTTAAAATCTTAACAAAATTAAAATATTGATTTGAATTGAGTTTTGAAAAGAGTTTTGAATTATGTGTTTGGTTTTGAGTTTTGAAAAGTAATGATTATGTTTTAAATTGAGTTTTGAAAAATGAGTGTAGAATTATGATTTGAAAACTCAAAACAAACACCACACTCAAATCAATGGGTGGAACTATAATTTGAAAGGCTTACCAAACGGAGCCTAAGTTTTCTTATTAAGGATTCTGTGGGAAACACCTTCTTGTTTTGTCATCATAGGGTAATCAAAAGAAAGCGCCCAAATCTTAGGGCCAGCCAAAATGTGGTGTCTACATCGCCTCAGAATTGAACCAGGAGTGAACTCGGCCATAAAGTCGGCTAGTACCTGGCCCTTGATTGTTGTTATGGGCTTGAACCCCAAGTCGTGTTGGCCTAGCACCACTACTTATCTGGCTATTCTGCCTGTCAGATCTCCATACTGCAACATGGACTTTAGCGGATGCTCCGTCAGCACCATAATCTTGTGGGCTTGGAAATAGTGATTCAATTTTGTAGAAGCCATCACCAGGGCTAGTGTCAACTTTTTCAGGGACAAGTATCTGGTTTCGACACTTGCCAGGATTTTGCTCACGTAATATACCACCTTCCGTTCCCCCTCATCTTCGTAGATTACCACAACGCTGACAGCGTCGTTTGATGCCGCCAAGTGCATGAATAGTTCTTCTCCAAGTACTGGAGTTGACAGAACTGGAGCTGTTGTTAGGTACTTTTTCAAGTCAGCTAAGGCGACTTCGTACTCTTCTGTCCACAAAAAATCTGTGACCTTCTTTAACAATTGAAAAAACGGCTGGCATTTATCAGAACTTCGGCTGATAAATCTATTTAAGGCTACCACATTACAGGTTAGAATCTGGACCTGTTTGGCTAATGTCGGGCTTTTCAAGTCAATGATAGCCCTGATCTGATCTGGGCTAGCTTCAATGTCCCTCCTAGTGACTAGGTATCCCAGAAACTTACTGGATTCGACTTCAAATGCACATTTGGAGACATTGAGCCGAAGCCGATATGTTTTTAGGATATCAAAAACTGTTTGTAAGTCGGCCAGATGGTTCCCAGGTTCTTCGGTCTTCACGACCATGTCATCGATGTAGACCTCTACTGTCCTCCCAATCAGGTTCTTAAACATCTTCGTCACTAACCTCTGGTAGGTTGCTCCTGCGTTCTTCAACCCGGAAGGCATCACTCTGTAACAATAGAGTCCTTTCGGGGTGATGAATGTTGTCTTCTCTTCATCTGGAGCATACATTGCTATCTGGTGGTAGCCTCTGTATGCGTCTAGGAAACTCATCCTTCCGTGCCCTGAAGTAGCATCCACCAGCTGATCGATCTTTGGCAAAGGGAAGCTATTCTTGGGACAAGCCTTATTTAGACTGGTGAAGTCCACACAGACCCTCCACTTGCCGTTTTTCTTTTTCACCACCACTGTGTTAGACAGCCAGGTAGGGTAGTTCACTTCTCGAATGGCTTGGGCTTCCAACAGCTTATCCACCTCCTCCTCGACTGCATCTACATATAATAAGGTCGTCCTCCTTGCTCGCTGGATAACAAGCTTAGTTGACCTGTCCACATTGAGCCTATGGCAAGTGACCTCAGGGTCAATGCCAGGCATCTCATAGGGTGTCCAGGCAAACGTTTCAATGTTTGCTCGCAGGAAAGCCTCTAACTCCTTTTCCTCCTCCTCGGCTAAGCCTGAGCCGAAAAGGAAGAAACGTTCTTCATCACCTTCTTTGACCAGAATCTTCCTCAAAGCTTCTTCATTCTTGTCGACTGGTTCTTTGTTGATATTATCTAGGACCGCCCTGTCCTCGTCTCCAATATCTACTGTCTCTGCTTCTCGCACGTTGCAGATAGATTTCATTGCTGCCATGGAGCAATTTTTTCCTGTACCTGATCCCCTCTGACCTCCTCAATCTCCTATTCGGTTGGGAATCGTAACAACTAGTACAACGTTAAGGGAATAACCCTCATTGCGTGCAGCCACGGTCTTCCCAAAATAACATTGTAAGGGGAAGGAGTGTCAATCATTGTAAAATCCATGCTTACCTTCTTGGTGCCTGTCTAAACCTCCGAATTCATTGCTTCGAAAGGCCACGTCGGTGTCCCGTTGAATCCAACCATCAGGCTGTCGGATTGTTCTAGATCATTTGGGTGAAGGCCAAGCTCCTTGTAACATCTAACATGCATGATGTCACAAGAACTGCCTTGATTAACCAGTATGCGCCTCATCTGGCATTCGTCAATCTTCAGTGTTATCACCAGGGCATCGTTGTATGGATGCTGCACTGTATCCAGGTCTACCTCAGTAAAAGAAACCATTGGTCCTTGGTACTCGTTTGTCCTAGGCTTCTTTTGCTGGACTTGATACACGTGTTGCAGGTGCCTTACTCTCTAGGTCTCCCATCGTACATCATTCTCATTGACCTTCGAGTGAATCACATTGATCACTTGAGGTCCATTTGCTTACTGCAATGACGGTGGCAGAGGTGGTGTTGCTGGTGACTAAGGTAGCCTTGTATGTTCTTCTCTTATCTTGGTCTCATCTACTACGTCTCTCAGGTGACCCTGTCTGACTAGATCCTCCAAGTACATCTTCAGTGCCCTACACCCCTGCGTCAAGTGCCCATCCTCATTATGGTAAGCACAATGCTTCCCAAGGCTTATTCCCATAAACTCGCCAGGGATCTTTTTAGGCGCTCTATAATACTGGTTCTTGTTCCTTTCTAGAACTTTGTAGATCGGGATTCTGAATACAGTGGTGACTGCCTGTGCAGCCTTTAATCTTGTCTCCTGCTTATTTGCACCGGAATTACCTCGGTCTCGCTTCGGCAAGTCATTTTTCTTTTTTTGCTTTGGTGTCTTCATTCCTTGCGTGTCCTCTTCTGCCCTGGTATATTTCTTAATCAGTGCCATGAGCTCCTCCATACTTTTTGGTAGGGTTTTTGCCAACGATTTTCGAAGAGGGCATTCATCATTCAAGCCGTTTTTAAAAGACATGGCCGCCAGCTCTTGGTTGCAGGCTGGAATTCTGTTGAACACCTCATAATATCTCTTTGCGTAAGCCCTGAGGCTTTCACCCTCGCTAATGTTCAAAGCTAGCAGGGAGTCTACCTTCAGTGGCTGCAACTTGTTCGTGACAAACCTGACTACAAACATCTCGGCCAAGCCTTCATAGCTCTTCACAGTTCCTTTTGGTAACTTGTAGAACCAATCTGATGTAATCTCTCCAAAGGATAAGGGGAACGCCTTGCACAACAACTGCTCATTCCCACTCCACAAAGCCATTGAATTCAAATATAAACCAACATGAAATTTCGGATAAGATTTACCATTACAAATCTGGAACCTCGGCATATGGAAACTCTCTGGGGCCTCAAACGTATCCAACTCCACTAAGAATGGCGTTCTTGGCTTGACGGGGGATGTGATCTTGGTGTTGTGCGGCTTCCTCTAAAGGTAGTCTTTCAAGTCCTCATTCATTCGATTGGGGAGCTCGGCTATCGACAAATTTCAGCCTTGTTGGTGCATTTCTCCCGGTGTCATTATGCATCCTCCTGGACCTCTCTTCATTCACTGTATCAAAGCAAAGGCCCTTCCCCTGGATATGCCGATGTTCTTTGACATACGTCCCTTTTGTTCGCGGCATTTTCTTTGACTTACCTCTTACTGAATCTGTTCGCCCATCCTGTGAAGGCCAATGTGAGCGCTTATTTTCCTTGCCATGCTACGGGGCTATTGGGATTATTTTCTGCCATTCTTTCTGGGCATCAGTCTTGGCTGTTGGTACCGGTGCATCGTGCAATGGAAACGGTGGTTGTATCACGTTGTTTTGTATCATGAAGTTGACAACCGACTGTAGGTCTGCCAACTTGTTTGCCATCCCTTTTATTTCGCCGTCTCTCATCAGGCATCTATCCTTCCATACCTGGAGGTCACTTTCGTTGTAATACTCATCTCGGCCAGCTTTTTTCGGAGCATTACCTTATTTGCCGACGTCTTTCTCTCGAGGATTTGGATCATGTGCTCCTTTATTACGGTTTTTCTCCTCGACGTTAGGATTTGCATGTTCGCAACTCTCACTATGGACGTTGTCTCTAATTTTTTTTTCATTCCCGTTGTTGGCCATCTATTCTCCTTAAGTTCCCACAGACGGCACCAAATTGTGGGTGTTGATTTCTGACCACATAACCAAATGGGGAACTCAGTTGGAGAGTACCAACAGAATAGATTAAGCCCAACAACTTGCACAAGAAAATGAGAATCCGATAGTGGTTCGTCCACCCGGGGGCACTTCGACAATCAAGTTAGTAATCTCTCAAATATATCAATTCAAGTATTTAACTCATAATTCACTGCTCACAGTATATCACACATACTTGAGACCCATGGGGGTGCCCTGCTTTTATAACCGGCAATGACCTGATCCTTTTAGAAGCCTTACTTCAATGGACTCAAGCTCAATGCTCATCCTGGACCCTCATCTAGATAGAGATAAACTCTTCTTGAGCCTTATCTTTATCTAGACTGAGATCCTCCTCTGTTCTAGGACGCTTATCCCTTATCTACTTATCTCGGATTCCGGTATCTCCGCAGATAATCTTGGCCTAGTCGAGATCATCTGACAACAAAACCAAGCCACATGACACTTCGACTGACAATTCGACATCATCTTAGTCACGTGCTGTTATTCATAAAATACTTCCCCACATATTTATGTATTTTGTTTTCAATATATATATATATATATATATTTATGTATTTCTAATTTTTTTTGTCATCAACTTGTATCATTGCTTATAAATATTTACAACTAACTTATTCTTTAAAAATTATCATTCTAAAATAATATACTACATAAATAATCAATAACTAAATTTTGGGGCATATTTTTTAACTTTAAAAAGGGTAATTTTTTATTTTAGTTTGTCATCTTTTTAAAATATGTTTTTCACAAATTATTTATATATATATTTTTATCTACTCTCGTATCAACCTTTTTTTTTTAATAATAAAAAACAACTCCAAGATAGTCTAAAGTTATGTTTGGTTTTGCCTTTTTGACTAAAAAAATACAAAAGACAAAATTAACTACATAAACTAATAAGACAAAATATCATATTCAAAGCATAATTATTATACTTTTTCCCTCACAAAAGTTAAAAAAGCCAAAAACAATAATCAAATAAGACTAAAAAAGTCAGACTAAAATAGTCAAAAAGCCAAACTACTTTAGCTCTTTCCAAACGAGGACTAAATTAATAACTACGCATCCTGAGCTTAAATTATTTATATATAGACCATTTAAATTATTATAAAATATTATTTTGAATCTATGAACTATAAAAATATATAAATGGATAAACTATTGAGAAGTTTTCCTTTGTCCTCTAAATTATAAAAAATTATAAATGGACCCCCTAATTTATTGACGCGTTTAACCTTGATCCCTTCCATTAAGGGGTCCAATTGGCACATTCTTATAATTTAATAGATAAAGTGATATTTTTCAATAGTTTAAAGGGTCTTCATGTAAACACCCTAAATTATAACAACTAAAATAATATAAATGAGATTATGTAATTTTATTTAGTGGGCAAATTACATTAACTGTCCATATATAGGAATGACAATTTAAACCTGGCCCGACGGGAACCCGACTCCCCGATCCCAATTAGAGCGGTTTTTTCCCGAAAAATACCCCCGACGGGCCAGGAATGGTATTTAAAAATAAATCCCCGATAATGTTCGGGCCGGGGACGGTGATACATTTCCTAGTCCCGTTCCCGGCTTGGGCCCGGGCCCGCCCGACCCCGACCCCGACCCGTTTTTCTCCCGAAATAAAATTACAATTCTACCCCTATCTATATATATATATATATATATACATCTCTCACTCCCTTTCTCTCTCTCTCTCTCTCTGCTGTGTAGCTCTTGTGAAGATCAATGGCAAATAAGGTGTCTATAGAATCATTGCCGAATAAGGTGTCTACAGCCGACGACGACGTTCCACCGAATCAGAACCTCCTCCTCCTCCTTCGACGACGACGACGACGAGCGCCAACTCCTCTTCCTCCTCCTCTTCCTCCGACGACGAGGGCCACCTCCTTCTCCTCCGAGACCTCCGACGACGACGACGTCCTCCGCTGCCTGACTCTTTCTGTCTCTCTTTCTCTATGTGTTATATATACATACATATATATATATATATATATATTAGATTGCAGCTCAGATCTCTTTCTCTCTACTTAGATCTATCTCTCTCTACTCAGATTTGTGTGTTGTTGATATTATTTGATGATATTGTTGTTGATGATGTTGATGTTGAAGATGTTGTTGTAGATTTGTGTGTTGTTGATCTATCTCTCGCTACTGTTTTTTTTTTTTTTTGATTCGGGGAATTTTCGGGGGCGGGGAATTTGGGGTCGGGGAAACCCAATCCCCGTTAGGGGACGGGGACGGGGACGGGGACGGGGATGGTAATAGATTCCCCGTCGGGGATCGGGGCCGGGAACGGGGACATTCTTACCATCGGGGATCGGGGACGGGGAAGGTGATCCTCGGCCCCGCCCCGCCCCGTTGTCACCCGCCCCGTCCCGTTGCCATTCCTATCCATATAGTTTGGGACTTGTGTCATTTTTATCTCTAACTTTTCAATTATGATACATATGACCTGAAATTTTGAATCTCATTCAAAATAAAGACAATTAAAGATATTATTTTTTTGCAAACGGAAAATGCTCCATTTCAAGGGTAAAGTTGCCAATTTTATAAAATATAAACTAATTTGACAAAAATAAATGTCAATTTTTTTAAAAATTTTAAAAACTATTTCTACCCACCAATGATAAAATTATATAAAAATGATAAATTTTTTACATTTTTACATTTGTATTTTTTTTACCAAATATATATTTTATATGTGCGTGGATGATGATATCCCATGAGTGATTGTTTTTGTTGATATTTTTGGATAGTTATCATGTAATACATGATTGTTTTTGTTGATATTTTTGGATAATTATCATGTAATACATGATTGTTTTTGTTGTTAACAAACATTTTTTTTATGGTTATTATGTAATATATGGTTATTGAGTTTTTAATATATAATCAATATGTTTTATATTTGAAATACTTTTAGTTTTGGATTTTTGGATTTAATAAATTGGTTTAATAATAACATTAAAATTGTCGTCATATTTGACTTTTGAAAAAATAGAAACTAATTTAACGAAAATAAATATTAAAAAAAAATTATTTAAAAAAATTATTATTTTTTCTTAATTTTTTTTTCTAAAAATAGATTATGAAAATCAAACCAAACAGAATTTTATAACCATGAAAGTGTCGGCATTATTCAATAAAAAATGACATTATATTTCAAACAATATACAAGTTAACAAACACAAAATAAGTTGTATGACGACTTTGTCATTGAAATGGATCATTTGAAAACGAAACATCTTTTCCTTATTAGAACAAGATTTAAAATTTAAAATCGAATGTATTATAATTAAAAAATTAGAGACCAAAATGAAATAAATTACAACCTATAAGAATTGTTAATATAATTCATCCTTATCTAATGAATACTGATTAAGACCTTCACCCCACTTTAGGGGTGTGGGGGTCATCCCCAAAGGATCTCAAACATTAGTGTCATCTAAGGCTCAGGTAGAATGGAGTGGATTAATAATGAGGCGATTGTTAGTGAGGGGATTGATAGTGAAAGGATTAAGTAAAATTGTATTTGTTTTGATGATAATTGTTAGTGTAGGGATTGTTAAATTATTTTTATATAAAATAATAAAACAAATAAAAAAATACAAAAACATTAAACATTAATGTTTTTAAAAAAATGTCCAACATGTACAAAATTTTAAAAAAATAAAAATAAAATAAAAAATTTCTAGAAAAAAATAAAACAAATAAAATAATAATTTTTACTTAACAAAAAATACAAAAAATTAAACATTAATGTTCAAAAGAAAATGCCCAACATGTAAAAAATAAAATAAAAAATAAATAAAAATAAAAAATTTCTAGTCTGCCGGATTATTTTTCTAATACCAAGTCCTGGAGGCCCATCTAAATCCCCTTGGGGAGGCCTATTCTAATCTGGAGCTCACTATCAATCCCCTTTCTATCTCTCAAAACAAATACAATATTAGTGGGTCCCATCTCACTACCAATTTTAATCCTCCCTCTAACTCTCCAAACAAACGGGGCCTTATAGTATACGTGTAAGGTCCCTTTTTAATATTAATTTATTGTTATTATTAATACTATTTGAGAGATATTATAAAAATAATATACTATGTTTGGTTTCAATTTTTAGAATTTAATTTTTAAAAAAATTTATTTTTTTGTTTTTCATATTTATTTATTTTTACTGATTTTTTTAAAAATATTTTAAGTAATTTTTTTAATTTATAGACACACATAACATAAATACATTTAAAAAGTATAATATTTGTAATTTTTTTTAAAAAAAAATTCGCTAAATATCAAAAATATTAAAATATGAAAAATATTTTACTATTTAGATACATCTAAAAAAGTAAAAAAAATTACTTAATATTTTAAATTTTTTTTACTAAAACCAAAAAAATACGAGAAAATAAAAAATTCAATTTTCAGAAAAACTGAATTAAAAAAACTGAAACCAAATACACTAAGAGGTGTTTTGGAAAGATGATTAAAAGCTGACTTTTTAATTTTTTTTTTTTGGAAAAAACATATAAAAATGTGAGATAATGTGACTTAAAATGAATTAAAAATTAGGGAGTGACTTTTAATCCATTTCCTAAAAAAAATGGTGAGATTCCTATTAAAATTTAAAATTATTTTAAAATTAAATAACATCACAATAGTTATCTATACTATATATTAAGCAAAAGGAGATTTTTAACCCCAAACCTTGTAGGAGTTTCAATCTCTTAATCTAAATTTTTTGATTTAAAAAAAAAAATGTTAACATTTATTAACTTCTCTCAACTCTCAAGTCTTACATCATAATAACACTTTAATGCATTAAGAACAATCATAAAAAAAAATTCTTTGAAATCCAGCACATATGAATTCCTTAAAAAGTCTTAACACATATGATTATTATCCCTCATAATAACACTTTAATGCATTAAGAACAAGTATAAAAAAAAAATTCTTAAAAAGTCCAACACATATGATTATTATGAATTCCTTGAAAAGTCCCAACACATATGATTATTATCCCTCATAATAACACTTTAATGCATTAAGAACAAGTATAAAAAAAAAATTCTTAAAAAGTCCAACACATATGATTATTATGAATTCCTTGAAAAGTCCCAACACATATGATTATTATCCCTCATAATAACACTTTAATGCATTAAGAACAAGTATAAAAAAAATTTCTTAAAAAGTCTAGCACATATGATTATTATCAAAATATTAAATTTTAATATAATATAATAATAATAAAAAAATACAATTTATTCATTGAAAAGTTTAACACATATGATTACTATCAAAATATTAAATTTTAATAAAATATATAAAAAAAAATATATAAAAAAAATATATTTAAAAATTACAATTTATATATATAGATAATTATAAATATAATTCGTACAATTATAGAAGGAATTGAAACAGACGAGTGATGGGTTGTTTTGGATGATGCAATAAGTTTCATTTTCAAACAGACGAGTTTTTGTCGTCCTCCATTTTCTTCCCATTTTTATGTTTTTTTTTGTGTCCTTGTTTTGGGTTCAGAGCAATGGTGCTTTTTGCTCTCTCGTGTCCCCTCTACTCCTTTCCCCAATAACTCTCTCTCTCTCTCTCTCCATGTCTGACCAGCAGCAAGACACCGACGCACCACCACCCCCCAAGGGCCGCCCCGCCGGCGGCACCGAGCAGAGCTGGTGCAAGGCGGTCCCCGGCGGCACCGGCATAACCGTCCTCTCTCTCCTCCTCTCTAAACCACCTAACTTCTCAATTCTCCAAAATACCCTCCACAATCTCCAAATCTCCCACCCTATCCTCCGCTCCAAACTCCACTTCTCCACCACCACCACACCATCATTCTCCTTCATCACACCCCCAACTCCTCACCTCCAAATCCAGCTCTTCGATCTCTCATCAACGGCCGAGATCCTTCGATCCCTCAACAATCCCTCCCTCTCCCCCTTCCAACTGATCCTCGAACACGAACTCAACAACACCACCTGGCGCGATCTGGACCTTTCATTGGACTCCGAAACCGATGTGTTCTTCGCGAGCGTTTACAGTTTGAGTGATGCCGAGTGGGCGGTGGTGCTGCGGCTGCACACGGCGGCTTGTGACCGGACCTCGGCGGCGGCGCTGCTGAGGGAGATATCGGCGGCGGTGGCGGAGGGAGGAGGGGGGGTAGAGAGGGAAATAGAGGGGGGAGGTGAGGTTAGTTTGGGAATTGAGGATTGTGTGCCGAATGGGAAATTGAATAAGCCGTTTTGGGCGCGTGGTGTGGACATGGTTGGGTACTCTCTGAATGCTCTGAGGCTGGCGAATTTGAATTTTGTTGATGTGGAATCGCCGAGATGTTCCAAGGTTGTGAGGTTGAAGATAAGTTCTGATCATACTCATCGCATTCTTTCTGTGAGTTCAACTTCTTCTTCACCATGATTTTTGTTTGATCTTTGCATCCATATATATTTTTTTCCCAAATATTTTCAGTTAAATTGCACTTATTCACACACTTTAAGTCGAATTTTTATATTACATGATAGATAGAGTAGTTTGGGTGAAACAATTTTTATGATGGTCCACCAGGGATAATACACGACGAATTTTGTTCGGTTGTTAAAATATCGTTTAAGTTTAATTTAGGAAAAAGAGGCAGACCGCCACTGGGGGTGACCCCAGGGCTCCAGTGGGGGTGACCCCAGGGCTCCAGTGGGGAGTGGGGAGTGATTGGTGGATAATTTTTTTTTTTCACTGGGGAGCACTCCTGTTTAATTTATTATTAAAGCAATTGTGATAGGGACTTCCCATAACTCACTCTCATCCCAATCATTTATATTTAAGTGGATCCTACATACATATTTAAACCTCCGTTTGGGGAGCGGGTTGGCTTTTTGGCTTTTTGACTTTTTTGGCTATTTTAGCCTGGGCTTAAAAGCTTGGTTTGGGAAGGACTTTTTGGCTTTTTGGCTTTTTTGAGTTTTTTTGTGAGAGAAGAATGTAATGATTATGGGTTGGATGTGATGTTTTGTTTGTTATGGCTAAAATAGTCTATTTTGTTTTTTATAGCTAAAATAGCCAAAAAAGCCTGCAAACCCACTTGCCAAACACAAGCTAAGTGCGAAGATTAAATTAGAGGTCATAAAATTTCAAAAAAAAGGGTTCCAAACATTCAAAGTTATGTTTGACAATGGATCTTTGGTCAAAAAAACACAAAATATAAAATCGGCTACATAACTCAACAAGATAAAATGTTACATTTAAATCATAATTATTTTATTTTTTTTTCATAAAAATTTAAAAAGTCAAAAATAAAAACTAAATGAGGTTAAAAAAATCAAACTAAAATAGTTAAAAAAAAAAGAAGTAATAAAGTGAGTTTGAATATATTTTGGAATTAGCTAAAGCTTTAAATCATATTTCTTACTCGTGGCTCAGTTCAAGATTAATTATGGCCGTGTTTGGAAGCTAGGTTGAGAGGGAGAGGGCTATTTCAGCCTCGCAGCTGAATTAGCAGAAAAGCATATACAAGAAAAAAATAAAAAAATAGACCGTGTGCCTTGACAGCACTGCCAACTCAGGTTGTCAAATGTCCAAATTACCCCTGTGAACATTGAGATACAGATCGGTTGTTAGAGCCCAAATATATTTCCCAAGTTAGAGGGCAATGCCACATCATTCAACAAGAACATACTCTTCTTAGGGGCATTTTTGTCATTTCATTGTTTAATATAATTTCAAACACATTTCTTAATACAACAATTCAACCCATCTTTTCAAACACAAAAATTAAAATAGCCTATTAAAATATCTAAATAATCAAAAAGTAAAAAAATAGCCAATTTCCAAACAGGGCCTATATAAAAATAGGTTTAGGCTTGTCTCCAGTTCACATGGACTGGACGGTACTGTTGGGCCCCTAGGGCCCACCACGGGTCATGTTTCGACAATCCGAACCATTCAATATGTAGAGTTCGTCAATTACTTTGTCACTGTAAAAAATTACGTTGATTGGATATCGATAGCTATTTGTTCGGATCAGATTTTTGTCAACAATTTATTTTGAAGATTATATTTGCCGTTACTGATCCGATCAAGTAGCTATCGGTATCCAATCAACGTGATTTTTTGTAGGGATAAAGTACTTGACGAGTTCTACACATTGAACGGTTCGGATCATCGAAACAAAACACGTGGTGGGCCCTCATGGGCCCAACAGCACGCTCTCGAACTGGAGAGAAGCTTGACCCATAAAAATGTCAGGTTATTCAAGTTCAGGTTGACAAAAGCTCGTTTGAGATTGACTCGAAAGCTTAGCGAACAAAGCTTGAACATATTTTGAAATTTGTTAAAATTTTCAAATCAAATTTGAATAATTAATTGTTCGGGTCATTTATGCTCCTCCATGTAATATGTATGATCAAAAATATTTTATGTGGTTGATTCTGTATTTGTAGTCTTGTTGATTTCTATTTGTGTAGATTGATAAATGTTTCAAAATTGTTAATTTTAACTTTTAACTTGATCGTAATGACCAAATTGAACAAAATTATTTAAGCTATGTTTGTTTCGACGGAAAATATTTTACCCCAAAAAATAATTTTCTTGTAAATTGATTTTACGCGGAAAAAATGGTTTTGTTTTTGTTTTTCGACGTTTGGTTGACACTTGAAATAAAAATATTTTATTGCCTAAATTTTTTTATTTGATTTAATAAAGCGTCATTTATGACTTTTTAGTTTGTGTAGTTTACCAAATATGTTCAAACAAAACATCTCTAATCTAGTTTGTGTAGTTTTTAAGTTTATTAGTATTAAAATAAAACAATTCATTATAATTTGACATAATAAAATAGCACGGTGTTATTTTATATTACACAATAAGTTTTTTTTTTTTAAAAAAAATTTATAAATAAAAATTATATGTTATTAGAAGAGTTTAATTTAATGCTAATTACATGTGAAAATAAATAAAATAAGCAAGAGTTAATTTTTCAAATGTAAAGATAAAAAATACACTTATATACTATTTTATTTATTAGGCCTATTTTGAAAAGTAGGTTAAAAGTTGACTTTTTGATTTTTTTTGACTTTTTTTAGAAAAAGGTACAAAGATCAATCATCAATGTGACCCAAAAAAGTCAAAAAGTTAACTTTTAACTGTGTTGCCAAAACAGGCCTTAATGAAAAAAGCTTGAGACCTTTAAAATATAATTTCTAAATTTATTTATAATGATGTGAATGCTCCATTGTTGATTGGTTTTAAAATAAAGGGGAAATAACAATTAAGAGAAAATTTGAAAAAAAAAAAATTCAAACAATGATAAAGTTTATTTTATATAATTGTAATTATTTACAATTATATTGGGAAGGTTCCATCGATGTGTAATTTCCCCCAAAATAAAACACTTAAGACTCAATTTCCTGACACATCATTGAGAATGAATGGAAAAAAGTAAAAGAACTCATCATTTTCATATGATTTTATATTTGTTTTGGGTGAAAATAATTAAAAATATTTTTTTTGAAATTTTTTTTTATCAAATTGGTTTTTACTTTTTATTTTATTTTTTAATTCCAGCAAACTGATTCTATTATATGAGATGCGTTTAGACAAGTATTGGACGTCATTGTTATACACCAAGCACATGTACATTCGGCCCATTGTACCACTGTGCCCTGAAATATCCAATAACTTCTCTACTATAATAATAGACATATGATTGAAAATTCTTTTTTTTTTAAAAAACTAAAATTCTATTGTTGGGATATTTAAATACGGATTTTTCTCAGATATTTATGTTACTTGAGAATACAAGTGAAAATTGCCTTCCACTAAGCATATTCCAACATTCCATGTTAAGTCAAGTCTAGTTTTTCAGTCAATTTTTAGATTTTAGTGATAAATATGCTTTACAATTTGGAACACTTGCGAAGTCTTCCATAGTGGATAAGGATGTTTTCTTGTCAATCTTGATGCTCCACCACGTGTGAAATACAAAACAACTTGTAGATAAAAGTATTAGACAATTTAATTTGCATGTGTGGGGGTGGAGATGGCCGCTGGAAAATATGAACGCTCAGCAGAAGCTAGATGCCTAAGTCAAATGTTCTAACTTAGAATGCTAGATGTCGTGTACATGGTTTGCTGGGTTCTCAACTTGCTGGGTTCTCAACTTGCTTATAGTGTGAGTGTGCATTACTGTTGTGAGATTTTAGGCACCATTTCCCTTTATGTTCTTTTGGTGGATCATGTCCCATGTACGTGACATCCCAAGTAAGGATAATCTCGTTCCTACTCAATGTGGACTTCCCCTTAACCTGGTCCATCCACTGCTCAGGCCTGTCTGACTGACCAATTGTAGCTTGACTGCCTGGTTGGCTACTTTGCTCAAAGATGCTGCCACATTTCCTGCTCAGCCTTGCAGTGTGGTAGCTCGGAATTTACATCCACAATAAATATATATTAACATAAGAACATTGGCTATATGACATGGTGGAGGTTAAGTGCATTTTCAATTTTGATACTCCTGTAAAAACAAGAAAAACAAAATGAGTACCTTCTGTTCTTGCATAAACTTGGGCACCAAGACTATGGTTACAAATTTTGCAGGGTTGCAAGTCAAGAGGTATTGGACTATGCGGGGCATTGGCAGCTGCTGGATTGATTGCAGGTCGTTCCTCTAAAAGCCTGCCTGATGATCAGTGGGAGAAGTATGCAGTTGTTACCCTCATCGACTGCCGTCCGATTCTTGATCCAGTTCTTAGTAGCAACCATCTAGGTGTGCCCTAATCTTCATTCCCTAATCACTCCTCAGTCACTTCACAACAGGGATTTATTGGGCTTCATATATATATATATTGCTTGCATGCTTTGCTGCAACTGAAGTTTGTTCTATGAACATCTTAGAAGCAAAACTAATTTTTTTATAAATAACATTGGCAGATAATTAAGGGCTTATTGGGACAAAAACAGAAAATCTAGTCTTATATTAGTAGGATAAAGTCAACAAAGTAATATTTAAGAGTAAATCATTGACTTTGTAAGCCAAGTAGGACCTAACTAGCACTTGATTGGTGTCTCAATCTTAATGTTAGGGACTCAAGTTTCACTTATTGATGTAGGACAATTATGGACAGCTCTGTGAGAACGGTAAAGCTGGATTCTGTGGGTTTTTATTGTGATTTGAAGCTGAAAAGTAATAAAAAATTAGGGCTTCTACCAGTGTACGGAAGAATTAGGGTTAGGGGCTTAATGTAATAAGATATAAGATTGAATTTTGGGACTGTTTTGGGTACTGTAAACAATACTCGTGAACAGTATTTTGGGCTGTTAAAAGTGCTGAAATAAAAGAGGGGAAGAAAGAGAAACAAAAGAAAGATTTAGAAATCCCTTTTAGAATCCCTTAGGCATCACAACTAAAGTTAGGGTTACATCACACAAACCCAAAGAAGTTTCAAAACACTCAAAATTCTATAAAATATTGACTCCCTTAAATTATAAGTATTACATGGCTTTATATAGGATTAGGAGATTTCCTAAGCCAATTACAATAAAAAAAAGGAAACTATTAAAATATTTTTAATTTCTAAAACTAATTTAAGGCCAAATAAGAAACAAAAACAAAAACAAAAACGAATTAAATAACTTAACCCATAAGACGACCCATGGGTGAACCATACATCTCATGTCAGTAAATATAAAATTACTAAAATACCCCTAACCTTAAAAATCCTAGAAAACATAAAAATAATAATAAATAAGGCTATAATAATATTAGAAATATAATTATAGAAGATTTTTGTTAGTTTCTCTATGATCATGCCAATGTCCAAGTATCATGACTTCTCTGAATTTAGCCTTTCTTGAGCTGCTTATACTCCACATCACTTACTGTCATGCTAAATGATGAAAGGAAGATGAACTTGTTAATTTAGATTGGATTTGACATGTGAAAGCTCTGTTGATGGAGATTGAGAACTTTAATTATGTAAATATCATTTTTAGGAAATGATACAATGGGAGTTTCACTACACAAAGCATGTAACAACTAAATCTTGGACATTTTCCCCAGCTTTGAATTAAAAGTATATATTATATATAGTTGCTTTCATAACTGTAGTAGCTGGAAACTCTTATTGGGTCTTGCTCCTCACTCCTGAACCCCGCTCCGGCCCACCCCCGCTCCCGCTCCCGCTCCCGCTCCCGCTCCCGCTCCCAACCTTACTCTTCTATCAGACTGTCAATCCCCTGTTCTCACTCCTTAAAATTACTCTTTTTATTTTAATTTTGTATAACACTTGTGGCGCTCCTAGTTTGAGACTTCTGCAACATTCAACATGTTTAGAGTCTGTTTGGCAAAACTTATTTGCAACTAAAAAAATTCTTGAACCCAGCTTTAAGAAAAAAGAAGAAGAAGAAGCTTTTTCAGCTTGTTTTGAACTTTTTGAGCTAAAAAAGCAAATAAATTGAAAGCATGCTAATTTTACCAAACATTTACCCTTCAATGTACAACTGCTCAAGCATGAAACTTCATAGCTGGTTTTGAGCTTTTTGAGCTGAAAAGTGAATAAATTGTAAATCTGATAAGTTTTACCAAAACATTTAATTTTCAATGTACAACTGCTTAAGCATGAAATTTCAAATTTTAAGCAAAATATGTTGCAAATAAGTTTTTTCCAAATGGGCCCTAATCAAGTTTTGCAGGTAAAACTATTTTTTGGCCAGGCGGCAGCTCTTTTCACTGCATCTTTGGCTTTCTTGATAGCATAGTACAATAGACCATTTTATTTACTTTTGTGTTTCATACAAGGCTTAACTTCTTGATACTTTGATATATCATCCAACTTATATACTTTGATCTACTGATTTTGTTGCACCTGAATGATTCAGGGTTTTACCACTCTGCCACCCTAAACACACATGACATAAAAGGGGGAGAAACGCTTTGGGATCTAGCAATGAGAACATACAATGCGTTCGCTAATTCAAAGAAGAACAATAAGCATTTCTCTGACATGGCAGACATTAATTTCCTCATGTGCAAGGTCATTGACAACCCTGGTTTGACTCCTTCATCGTCCATGAGGACTTCATTCATCTCTGTGTTTGAGGACCCTGTGATCGACCATTCTAGTGAAATGCACAGAGAGATCGGATTGAAGGACTACATGGGGTGTGCTTCTGTGCACGGAGTTGGGCCGTCCATTGCTATATTTGACACTATACGCGATGGGGCATTGGATTGCATGTGCGTGTATCCTTCGCCATTGCATTCAAGGGAGCAGATGGAAGAGCTGGTTGAGGATATGAAGAGGGTTCTTGTGGAGGGTGGAAGCTAATTCTTGTTTCATTTGGTTGTGGTAGTGAACATGCTCTCTAAGGGGTAATATGTAGATTTGCCCTAAATAAATTTTATTTTCAATCTCTCTCTAGGGCACAAAATTGCCATCATCAATTATTATTAGCATATGATGCAAAATTTTTAGATTGTGTTGTAAAGAAAGATGCTCAAGCAAGTAAAGACTATGATTACATCCAATATGAATTGTCACGCTTATCTTTTTACGAAATTTTTTCTTTTCTTGATGGCATGCAAATAACAGTGACAATTCACATTATTTGCTTTTCAGATTTGGTGACCTTTTTACTCTCGAAAGATAAGATTTTCCAATTCCAAAGGAAAAAAATATCTGATAAACGAAGGAAATATAATTTTTTATTATTCCACTTCAATCATGTCGTCAAACTCAAATGCTATGCTAAGAAAAGAACACACAATTCGAAGTGTTATAATATGACTCCTTTAGAGGAGATAAATATGAAAAATACAAATATGGTGTAGGAGAGGGTTCAAGAAAGGAGTTAGAAAATTCGAAGATCTTCGAAAATCTTTGAAGAACAATTTCGAATTCTTTAGAATATGATGAGAGGCTTAGATTCTTCAATAATTTCAACTTAGGAACACAACAATAAAGGAGATGATGGAGATAAGAGATTGAGTGAAGAAGAAGGCAAAATGGCTAGAGAGAGAATAATGGCAAGGCTCTCCCATGGATCTCCCACTTTCACTCTCAAGGTTGATAATGGAGAGGGAAAATTAGTTCTTTCCCAAGAATTGAAAAATCTCCAAAATCCATCCCTTGTAAAGCTATGGTTGGGTGCTATTTATAGGCACCTCATGATGTAGGATGGAGCCCATGTGCAAGGCACATGGGGGATATTCTCTCTAACCACCTTGTCCGAGGAGGTGACCTCTCCGAGGATGAGGAAAACCCCGAAGAGGAGACTAGTCCCTCGGCGAACCCTTCTTCTTAGCCATACCTAACCAATGATCCCCAATCATCCCAAAGGGTCAGGGGTAGTCCCAGAGGACGTCCTGCCGCAAAATATTGCCGAGTCTCATGGACCCCCCGGGGTCGTGCCACCTCGATCCCAGTATAGGCTAGTTTAAGGAGGTGACTTCTCCGAGGATGAGAAAACCCCGAAGGGGAGATCAATCCCTCGGCGAACCCTTCTTCTTAGCCACACCTAACCAATGATCCCCAATCATCCCAAAGGGTCAGGGGTAGTCCCAGAGGACGTCCTGCCGCAAAATATTGCCGAGTCTCATGGATCCCCCGTGGTCGTGCCACCTCGATCCTAGTATAGGCTAGTTTAACCGAAGAGTGAATTTATCTCCACTCACCGTCCTCGGGATCGGGTCCTTTGTTCGAACTCCATTACGCCCATGGTTCTGGTGCGTAGATTCCGGAAAGCTCCGAGCCCGCAAGTGTTCTGGGGCTCATTAACGGAGCGGCTTCTAAATTGCATCTGAATCCGTTCGAAGCCAAGTGCTTCGGATCTCTAGATTCGTAGGTCCGAATCCTTTCGAGTCCGAGTGCCTCGGATCTCTAGGCTTGTTCAATACCCTTTCGAGTCTGGGCCCGAGTAAGTCTCTAAGTCTCTAAGTTCGTGGATCCGAACCCCTTCGAGGCTTAGAGCGATTCAGCCCGTTTGATGGCGATAAATCCGGGCCCACCAATCTTGGACGTGCGATAAATTCGGACCCACCAATCTTGGACTATTGGGCCTAATTAATTTAGTGGGCTTAAATTAGCTCCTCTTACATTTGCCCCTTGCGTGTATGAGAAATTGTCATTTTCTCGGACATGCATAATTTCACCTTGTCAGCCATGTTTCACATTACGTCTTCGGGAATGTTTGGTCTTTACAGAGTCCATGGATAAAGTTGAAGGCTCACCGTAATTTACAGATAAAATCGACAAGTAATATTAAAAATAAATAAATAAATAACTTCTCTTCTTTTTTTTTTTCTTTTTATTTTTTTTACAACAACTTAGAATATTGATAATTACATTTTCACTTCTCTAAGTATTGAAAAATACAAAATTTTTTTTTTTTACTCCAAGTAAAAGAAATAAGAATTAAGAAATCCATTTCTTTCTTTTTTTTATCTTGACAAGATAAGGCCACTTGTTTTTAGAATACAGCAGCCTCACTTTCCACTTTATTTATTTATATATACATATATATCAAAGACAAAAAGTCCTCCATCTTTAACCACTTTTTTGCCAAATCATATTCCCAGCATATTCCTTCTCAAATATTTGGCAAATTCTCAACATATTCTTTTCTATAAAATAAATGGAGATGCACTGTTTTCGTCCATGAAATTCAAAACCCATAAAGTGCTTGGCCCTTTATATATATACATAGCCTTAGCCTGAGCACGTTGAGGCCATCTTTTGTATCCTTTTTTAGGATAAAGACAAAACCCTAATTGCTGCCTTATCTTCTTGCCCACAAATATTTCGGCTCTCTCTCTCTATAGAGACCAAGCTGCGTCTTCTTCAAGAAAGTTCTGGTTCTACAATAACAGGGGCCGACCCCAGCTGCTTGCATTTTTGACATCTCTTCTTCTTTTTCTTTTTTTTGTTCTGTTTCTGTGCTTCATCTTCCTTACCTCACTAACGATTTTTTTTTAATTTATTTGCAGGAGATTAAACTCCAAAGACCCATTTCGGCACACTTTCTCTCCAAACTGAGATCAACCCAAGCTTTATCTTCTTCAAAGAAGCTCCGTATTTGTAATACCACAGGGCCACTTCGTTTGCTCACTGCTCGTTGGTGCAACTCCGAGCGCCGTCGTCATCGCCCCTATTCCAGCATTGCGACCCAAGCTGCTGCTCACCATCAGTGTTTCCCTTCAATTTAATGATGCAGTCCCTCAGAGATCCAGGCACACCGTAGCTCTGTTCTGCTGCAAGTGTCAATGCCAATCCCGCTGTGACGTTGCTGCTACTGTCGGCCTCTACTGCTGCTTCTATCCGTGACTGACCAGCGCTGGCAACGCCGCCCACTCAGCGCGGTGTTGGCCTGCCCAGCATCGTTCTAGCCCATTGTTCACGCACGCTGCTCGCGCCGTCATCAATCTACTATGAAACCCATTTTTGGTGGGCCTTGGTCTTCCTCTCAACTATTTTTATTCCTTTGACTGTATTAGATTTGTAAATACAAGCTTAAAACCCTTTTTGTCAAACCCATTCTCAGCCCACTCTCTCTAACAAAGACAGATTCAGAGTTCGTCTTCTTCAAGGGGCTCTACCAAGCTGCGTCTTCTTCAAGAAAGCTCTGGTTCTACAATAACAGGGGCCGACCCCAGCTGCTTGCATTTTGACATCTCTTCTTCTTTTTCTTTTTTTTGTTCTGTTTCTGTGCTTCATCTTCCTTACCTCACTAACGATTTTTTTTTAATTTATTTGCAGGAGATCAAACTCCAAGGACCCATTTCGGCACACTTTCTCTCCAAACTGAGATCAACCCAAGCTTCATCTTCTTCAAAGAAGCTCCGTATTTGTAATACCACAGGGCCACTTCGTTTGCTCACTGCTCGTTGGTGCAACTCCGAGCGCCGTCGTCATCGCCCCTATTCCAGCATTGCGACCCAAGCTGCTGCTCACCATCAGTGTTTCCCTTCAATTTAATGATGCAGTCCCTCAGAGATCCAGGCACACCGTAGCTCTGTTCTGCTGCAAGTGTCAATGCCAATCCCGCTGTGACGTTGCTGCTACTGTCGGCCTCTACTGCTGCTTCTATCCGTGACTGACCAACGCTGGCCACGCCGCCCATTCAGCGCGGTGTTGGCCTGCCCAGCATCGTTCTAGCCCATTGTTCACGCACCCTGCTCGCGCTGTCATCAATCTACTATGAAACCCATTTTTGGTGGGCCTTGGTCTTCCTCTCAACTATTTTTATTCCTTTGACTGTATTAGATTTGTAAATACAAGCTTAAAACCCTTTTTGTCAAACCCATTCTCAGCCCACTCTCTCTAACAAAGACAGATTCAGAGTTCGTCTTCTTCAAGGGGCTCTGCTTCGCGGTTTGCTCACTACCGACTGCTGCAATTCTGGGCACCGACTGCTGCAACTCTGAGTGCGTCGCCAACCTGTCACAGCCCCGCGTCGCCAACCTGTCACAGCCCCAACTACTGCAGATGTCGTAACCCAAGCTGCTACTGACCTCTCTTTGCTGCAACTCCGACCACTGTTGGCTTCAACGATCCCAACGCAAACCACACACGTTCGCCCACTCAACGCAACGTGTGTGGTTTTGCCCAGCCTAGCTCAATCTTGTTGATCTTGATCGACGCCGACTCCGCTACGTCTTCAACACTGCCTTCGTCCTCAACTGTCCAACGCCGACCACGCACGTTCGCCCACTCAACGCAACGTGTGTGGTTTTGCCCAGCCTAGCTCAATCTTGTTGATCTTGATCGACGCCGACTCCGCTACGTCTTCAACACTGCCTTCGTCCTCAACTGTCCAACGCCGACCACGCACGTTCGCCCACTCAACGCAACGTGCGTGGTCTTGCCCAGCCTAGCTCAGTCCTGTTGATTACAGTCTATAAAACCTCTCTGATTTCAACTTAATTTCCAACATTGGCTTCGGACTTCACCCCTCTAACAGTCCCAAATTTGTGAGTATGAAATTCGGCTCCCTCTTCCTCTCGTTGAATAATAAAGATGATATATTGTTGTTTGTGGAATGATTTCAGTAATGAAACTCGTAATGTTGAATATAAATTTTGTTATCGAATGATTGATTGTTGCAACCCCAAGAATATTAGATATCATGCTTGAACTCCTGATGTAGAATTCATCGTAGGACTTGTTGATATGATGAAATACCTCGTTGAATAATAAAGATGATATATTGTGGTTTGTTTAACTTGTGGATGCTTGGGAAATACATAGCTGATGCCAAAATTTTGTGTGACCGTTGTAGCTTTACGTCGGCTTGAGAGGAATCGGCCCGGAGAGACAAAAACTTGATTGTTGCATTTTCATAAACTTGCTTAGAGTAATAAAATTGTTGTAACTTAAATAGATCATTATTATTTGTTGATATTGCCCCATTCCGATAATGCCTGAATCAGGATATGAAATTGATATTGCTCATCTCATTTGTCAGTTTTACTATTTCAGACAAATAAATTCTTGATTGAGATCCACGACCTCGGGGCCCTTAGAACCCGCACTAATGAGAGCAAGGGCTGTTCCTCGGAAGTCCGAACAGAAGCAAGACTGTCCCTCGGGATTCCGAAAGTAGCACACACCCTACTTTGGCAAGAAAGATTCCTCTGGAAGATAACCGAGTCTACCAAGCTTGCACCAACAGGAGTAAAGACTGTCTCTCAGAAGTCCGAGCAGAAGCAAGGCTGTCCCTCAGAAGTTCGAGCGGAAACAAGGCTGTCCTTTAGAAGTCTGAGCAGAAACGAGGCTGTCCCTCGGAAGTCCGAGTGGATGTGCACTTCTACTTCGGCAGCTAATGGAAGCAAAGGCTATCCCTCGGGAGTTCGAGTAAGAGTCCACTCTACTTTGAAAAGAAAGATCCTCGGAGCTCGTATTGATGAAATCAAGGGCTGTTCTTCGGACCCGCACTAATGAGAGCAAGAGTTGTCCCTCGGAAGGCTCTCCCTCAGAAGTCCGAGCAGAAACAAGGCTGTCTTTTGGAAGTCCGAGTGGATGCACACTTCTACTTCGGCAGCTAATGGAAGCAAAGGCTATTCCTCAAAGCTCGCACTAGCGGAAGCAAGATCTGTTCTTCGAAAGTCTGAGGCGGAGAACATACTCTACTTTAGCAAGAAAGATCCTTGAGGCTCGCATTGATGGAAGCGAGGTCTGTTCTTCGAAAGTCTGAGTGGGAGCACACACTCTACTTTAACAAGAAAGATCCTCGAAGTTCACGCTGATGGAAACAAGATCTGTTCTTCGAAAGTCTGAGTGGGAGCACACGCTCTACTTCAGCAAGAAAGATCCTTGAGACTCGCACTGATAGAAGCGAGGGCTGTTCTTCGGAAGTCCGAGTGGGAACACACACTCTGCTTCAATAAGAAAGACCCTCAAAGCTTACATTGATGGAAGCAATAGCTGCTCTTCGGAGGTCTGAGTAAGAGTATACTTCTACTACGTCAAGAAATGTCTCTTCAGGTTGGTAACCGAGTCTACTATTCCTCTTTCTTCTTCGAGGGGCAGTAAAAAATTGAAAACTGTTTCAAGCAACATAACACAATGAAGATATACAATATAGAGAAAATAACTTCTAATGGAGATACATAATATGGAAGAAATAAATTTCTTCATAACATAAGAAAGATAGAACTTCTTGGACAATGTAGTAAATGCAAACTGTAAATGTCATAGATAGACTTCTTCCATGGAATGTTGAAATTTGCCCCTAGAGTTGCAAGATCATTTGGAAAGCTTTCACCACCTGCTCGGGTTGTGGCCATCATGTACCATCAAAGCCATGTCTTTGGATCTTTCTGTACAGACTGATATCCACATCCCCGCAAGACTTTTCATGGATCTGTTGTAGTCGGAAACTTGCTTCTTGTTGGCCAACACACCAAGCTAGGAATCCGGTACCTTCTCGGAAATAAAGTTCACCTTGAATAATTATGAATTGGGCAAGCTTGGCCATAGTCAATTTTCCAACTTTGCTTCTAAGTTGTTCGAGGACTTCTCCTGTCCAGTCCTCCGGAAGGCCTTTGTCTTCAGGTATTATCGAAGGCTCTATTCTCTTCTTGATAATAATTGTCGCCTCCTCCTCTGGGATATCAACTCCTGCCCCTAATGTTGCGAGGGCATCTGAAAACTTGTTGTCGGAACGAGGCACATGCTCTATTTCAACCTTCTGAAATTTGTCAAGAAGCCTTCGGACTGTTGTTCGATATGTGGCCAAGGCAGGCTCCTTTAAGACGAACTGTCCTGAAACTTGCTTCACTATCAGCTTTGAGTCCCCCCGGATCCGAATCTTCTTGATACTGTGCTTCTCAGCTGCTATCAAGCCTAAAATAAGAGCCTCATACTCGGCTTCATTATTCGAACAATGGAAATCCAGTTTATAAGACAAATATAACTTTTCCCCACTTTTGCTTGTAAGGACTATCCCGGTTCCTCCCTTCCCTCCGGCTGCTGCTCCGTCAAAGCCCAATGTCCAGAAGCTTTCCTCGGAAGCCATAGCTGCGTGCACCTCTCCTCTTAATTCTTCATTCACTGGTTCATAGTCACCACTTGGAAATTGGGCAAGGAGATCAACTAAGGCTTGGCTTTTGATCGCCTTGGGGGCTACACATCTTGCTACCTTCCCGGTTAGAGCAGGCTTGCTGAGGAGGTATCGGATTGGATCACTTTCCCGGAAAGCTCCGAGCCCGCAAGTGTTCTGGGACTCATTAACGGAGCGACTTCTAGATTGCGTCTGAATCCGTTCGAAGCCAAGTACTTCGGATCTCTAGATTCGTGGATCCGAATCCTTTCGAGTCCGAGTGCCTCGGATCTCTAGGCTTGCTTAATACCCTTTCGAGTCCGGGCCCGAGTAAGTCTCTAGGTTCGTGGATCCGAACCCTTTCGAGGCTTAGAGCCATTTAGCCCGTTTGATGGTGATAAATTCGGGCCCACCAATCTTGGACTATTGGGCCTAATTAATTTAATGGGCTCAAATTAGCCCCTCTTACATTTGCCCCTTGCATGTATGAGAAATTGTAATTTTCTCAGACATGCATAGTTTCACCTTGTCTGTCATGCTCCGCATTACGTCTTCGGGAATATTTGGTTTTGATAGAGTCTATGGATAAAACTGAGGACTCACTGTAAATTACGGATAAAATCGACAAGTAATAAAAAATAAATAAAATAAATAAGTAAATATTTTTTTTTTTTTTTTTAGGCTCATACAGACTTTTGTGCCTTTTGATATCTATATTTTTATTTTTTAAAGAGAAACAAAACTTGAATTGTTTAATGCACCACCCACCAAACCTTGACATTTAATTAATATGGCACCTGCTCAAAGAAAATAATGATAATAATTCCTTTCACTTCCAGGAACAAATAAAATCAAAAGCTTGACCCCCGCAGCTTTTCTTCACCACTTTGATTCCAATTTCTTTTTTTTCTTTTTTTTTTTGTAGCCAAGTAAACAAATCCCAAAAAGTTAGCCCGTTCATAAATATATATATATATATAGAATATTTGAAACCCTAAACAATACATTTCCTTTTCTTTTTGCCTCCAGCCGCCAAGCTCCCTAAACAATACATTTCCTTTCTCAGCCGTCCCTCTCTCTCTAAAACAGAGACCAAGCTTCTTCATTTTCAAGAAAAGCTTTGCTTCTATAATATTAGATGCCACTGTCGTGCTCTCTTTCTTTAACAAAGAGAGACCCAACTTTCTTCTTCTTTTTTTTTTGGTCTTCGGCAACCCAGTGGCACAATCTCACTAATGTTTTTTTTTAATTTATTTGCAGGAGATCAAACTCCAAGGACCCATTTCGGCACAATTTCTCTCCAAACTGAGATCAACCCAGGCTTCATCTTCTTCAAAGAAGCTCCGTATTTGTAATACCACAGGGCCATTTCATTTGCTCACTGCTCGTTGGTGCAACTCCGAGCGCCGTCGTCATCGCCCCTATTCCAGCATCGTGACCCAAGCTGCTGCTCACCATCAGTGTTTCCCTTCAATTTAATGATACAGTCCCTCAGAGATCCAGGCACACCGTAGCTCTGTTCTGCTGCAAGTGTCAATGCTAATCCCGCTGTGACGTTGCTGCTACTGTCGGCCTCTACTGCTGCTTCTATCCGTGACTGACCAGCGCTGGCCACGCCGCCCACTCAGCGCGGTGTTGGCCTACCCAGCATCGTTCTAGCCCATTGTTCACGCACGCTGCTCGCGTCGTCATCAATCTACTATGAAACCCATTTTTGGTGGGCCTTGGTCTTCCTCTCAACTATTTTTATTCCTTTGACTGTATTAGATTTGTAAATACAAGCTTAAAACCCTTTTTGTCAAACCCATTCTCAGCTCACTCTCTCTAACAGAGACAGATTCAGAGTTCCTCTTCTTCAAGGGGCTCTGCTTCGCGGTTTGCTCACTACCGATTGCTGCAATTCTGGGCACCGACTGCTGCAACTCTGAGTGCGTCGCCAACCTGTCACAGCCCCGACTACTGCAGGTGTCGTGACCCAAGCTGCTACTGACCTCTCTTTGCTGCAACTCCGACCACTGTTGGCTTCAACGGTCCCAACGCAGACCACACACGTTCGCCCACTCAACGCAACGTGTGTGGTTTTGCCCAGCCTAGCTCAATCTTGTTGATCTTGATCGACGCCGACTCCACTACATCTTCAACACTGCCTTCGTCCTCAATTGTCCAACGCCGACCACGCACGTTCGCCCACTCAACGCAACGTACGTGGTCTTGCCCAGCCTAGCTTAGTCCTGTTGATTACAGTCTACAAAACCTTTCTGATTTCAACTTGAATTTCCAACATCGGCTTCGAACTTCACCCCTCTAACAGTCCCAAATTTGTGAGTATGAAATTCGGCTCCCTCTTCCTCTCGTTGAATATATAAATATATTTATCACTCCATGTTTGATAGTATTGAAAGGAGTAGAACAAACAAAAATTTTTGTTGTTGTTGTTGTTGTTGTTGATACTCGATGGAATGATTTCAGTAATGCAACTCGTAATGTTGAATATAAATTTTGTTATCGAATGATTGATTGTTGCAACCCCGAGAATATTAGATATCATGCTTGAACTCCTGATGTAGAATTCATCGTAGGACTTGTTGATATGATGAAATACTTCGTTGAATAATAAAGATGATATATTGTTGTTTGTTTAACTTGTGGATGCTTGGGAAATACATAGCTGATGTCAAAATTTTGTGTAACCGTTGTAGTTTTACGTCGGCTTGAGAGGAACCAGCTCGGAGAGACAAAAACTTGATTGTTGCATTTTCATGAACTTGCTCAGAGTAATAAAATTGTTGTAGCTTAAATAGATAATAATTATTTGTTGATGTTGCCCCATTCTGATAATGCCTGAATCATGATCTGAAATTGATATTGTTTGTCTCATTTGTTGGCTTTGCTATTTCAGGCAAATGAATTCTTGATTGAAATCCACGACCTCGGGGCCCTTGGAACCCGCACTAATGAGAGCAAGGGCTCGGAGGTCCGAACAAAAGCAAGACTGTCCCTCGGGAGTCCGAAGGTAGCACACACCCTACTTTGGCAAGAAAGATTCCTCTGGAAGATAACCGAGTCTACCAAGCTTCTACCAACAGAAGTAAAGACTGTCTCTCAGAAGTCCGAGCAGAAGCAAGGCTGTCCCTCGGAAGTCCGAGCAGAAACAAGGCTGTCCCTCGGAAGTCCGAGCAGAAACAAGGCTGTCCCTCGGAAGTCCGAGCAGAAACAAGGCTGTCCCTCGGAAGTCCGAGCAGAAACAAGGCTGTCCCTCGGAAGTCCGAGCAGAAACAAGGCTGTCCCTCGGAAGTCCGAGCAGAAACAAGGCTGTCCCTCGGAAGTCCGAGCAGAAACAAGGCTGTCCCTCGGAAGTCCGAGCAGAAACAAGGCTGTCCCTCGGAAGTCCGAGCAGAAACAAGGCTGTCCCTCGGAAGTCCGAGCAGAAACAAGGCTGTCCCTCGGAAGTCCGAGCAGAAACAAGGCTGTCCCTCGGAAGTCCGATGTTCTTCGAAAGTCTGAGGCGGAGAACACACTCTACTTCAGCAAGAAAGATCCTTGAGGCTCGTACTGATGGAAGCGAGGTCTGTTCTTCGAAAGTCTGAGTGGGAGCACACTTCTATTGTGTCAAGAAAACTCCCTTCAGGTTGGTAACCGAGTCTACTATTCCTCTTTCTTCTTCGAGGGGCAGTAAAAAAAATTAAAAACTGTTTCAAGCAACATAACACAATGAAGATATACAATGTAGAGAAAATAACTTCTAATGGAGATACATAATATGGAGGAAATAAATTTCTTCATAACATAAGAAAGATAGAACTTCATGGACAATGCAGTAAATGCAAACTATAAATGTCATAGGTAGATTTCTTTTACGGAATGTTGACATTTGCCCCTAGAGTTGCAAGATCATTTGGAAAGCTTTCACCAGCTGCTCGGGTTATGGCCGTCATATACCATCATAGCCATGTCTTTGGATCTTTCTGTACAAACTGATATCCTCATCTCCACAGGATTTTTCATGAATCTGTTGTAGTCGGAAACTTGCTTCTTGTTGGCCAACACACCGGGCTAGGAATCCGATACCCCCTCGGAAGTAAAGTTCTCCTTGAATAATTATGAATTGGGCAAGCTTGGCCATAATCAGTTTTCCAACTTTGCTTCTGAGTTGTTCGAGGACTTCTCCTCTCCAATCCTTCGGAAGGCCTTTGTCTTCGGGTATTATTGAAGGTTCTGTTCTCTTCTTGATAACAATTGTTGCCTCTTCCTCTGGAATGTCAACTCTTGCCCCTAATGTTGCGAGGGCATCTGAAAACTTGTTGTCGGAGTGAGGCACATGCTCTATTTCGACCTTCTGAAATTTGTCAAGATGCCTTTGGACTGTTGTTCGATATGTGGCCAAGGCAGGCTCCTTTAAGACGAACTGTCCTGAAACTTGCTTCACTATCAGCTTTGAGTCCCCCCGGATCCGAATCTTCTTGATACTGTGCTTCTCAGCTGCTATCAAGCCTAAAATAAGAGCCTCATACTCGGCTTCGTTATTCGCACAATGGAAATCCAGTTTATAAGACAAATATAGCTTTTCCCCACTTTTGCTTGTAAGGACTATCCCGGTTCCTCCATTCCCTCCAGCTGCTGCTCCGTCAAAGCTCAATGTCCAGAAGCTTTCCTCGGAAGCCATAGCTGCATGCACCTCTCCTCTTAATTCTTCATTCACTGGTTCATAGTCACCACTTGGAATTTGAGCAAGAAGGTCAGCTAAGGCTTGGCTTTTAATCGCCTTGGGGGCTACACATGTGATCTCGAATTCACCCAGTGCTAACAACCATCTTGCCACCTTCTCGGTTAGAGCAGGCTTGCTGAGGAGGTATCGGATTGGATCACTTCTAGTAACAATCTGAATCTGATGTGCTAGGAAGTAATGTCTGAGCTTTTGGGCAGTGAATACCAAAGCTAAACAATGTCTCTCTACCGGAGTATATCGGACTTCTGCTCCTCGAATCTTCCAACTGATGTAATACACCGGGTGTTCTGCTCTATCTACATCTTGGACCAATAATGCCCCTATGGACTTGGGGGTTGAAGTTAAGTACAACATTAGAGGGACCTCGGGCTGCGGGGCTATCATGGTCTGAGGCGAGGTCAAGGCACACAACCTGTATTATTGATAATGACAAAAGGAATAATGAGAAAATTATTAACCTTTATTTAAGAAAGACAGATAAAAGGGCATAGCTTTGATTTCCTAAGCAAGTGAACAAACATAGTGTTAGAGTTCATAGGTTCCGTGATTAGGATTTAGGGGTAAGAAATAATGTTATCTCTTGTAAATGGGCATAATTTTAAGTGCAAGGTTTTGGTTTATTAGAGTCTATGTTATTTAGGTTTTAAGACCTTTTGGAAGCTATCAATCTTTCAAAAATGCAAAGTGCACAAAATTAGAATACAAATAGTACACAGAAAATATATTGTATAGCTGAAATTTATTTGGAATGTCATGTGAGCAATACTTTAAATAAATCTCAACCACAAAACAATTTTTGTGTTATTTCTGCACACCTACCATTGTTGATCTTACTTTGTTTGGGAACTTAAAAAAGGAATAATTGGTATAAAGTATCTAATTAAACAAAATTGAGATACAACCAAAACAATATAGTGTTTGGTTAATAAGAGACAAGACTCATGTACTTAATCCCATCTATCATTTTTTATTGGTTGGTGACACTATGCAAGATGAATTCATTCACCGCTATGCTGAAATTTTTATTTTTATTTTCGAAAAGGAGTTTCTACTAATACCTTCAATTTACTGAAACAGGTTTATGATTTTACTTGAATAATTCGAAATTTAGTAGCTCTAGAAACTCATAAAACTTATAGCAATTGTACTTTTTGGTTAAAGAGGGGTTGTGGTTTGAGAATTTCCACATTGAGCTCATGCTTTGTTGATTCTTCTTTTTCTTCTTCAAGTCCACAACTGCTATAGAAACTCTTTAGATTCTCCAATCCTTCCCTATTGGCCACTACTATTGCTTTCAACTTTGCACATCAGTGTATATATAGAAGTCGAAGATGCTCTAGGTTTCTTAATTGACAAAAGGATTCTCTCTCTCCCTGGACAAGGGGTTTTAAACGTTTATTCCATACCACTGATATATTATGTACATAAAAAATTCTCAATTCCTCCAAAGCAGGGAATGCCACTTGCAAAATTTGATATATCAATTTTTGTTTTGTTAATTACCAAGAATTGGCAAATAAACATAAAAAGTTACTGGAAAAAAACACGCCCTTCCACAAAAGAGAGGTTGAGGAGTGTTAGAATTGTTTGAAAGGAAGCGCCTGAGCTTGGGTATGTTGCGCAACGTCATTATTTTCAGTTGAAGAAAAATAATTTCCTCATCATTTTCTTGTCCTTCATTTCCAACAATTTCTTCCATATCCTCACAATTTTCTATTTCTAGATGTGTGAGGCGCATAAGAACTCTTGCAATGGAGAGTGAGAAGAGACATTTGAATCTGTGTGTGTTAGTTTTCTGACCACACTGCCAAACAGGTACTCAGCTGGAGAACACCGGCAGAATAGATTGCGCCTGAACGACCTGTCACAGAAAGATAAGACTCCGACGGTGGTTCGTCTGACGATCAAGTCAACACTCAATTATCTCTCAAAGATAGCAAATAGTGCTTTTACTCACTAGTCAGAATATAAAAAACGTATCTTAGACCTACGAGGGTGCCTTACTTTTATAGCCAACACTAACCTGATCCATGTAGAAGCCTAGCTTCTTTTGGACTCTGGCCCAATGCTTATCTTGGACTCTCCAATAGATAAAGATAAACTCTCTAAGAGCTTTTATCATTATCCAGGCTGAGGTCCTCCCTCATTCTAGAACTCTTATCCCTTATCCGCTCATCTCAGATTCCGGTATCTTTGCAGGCAACCTCGGCCTAGCCGATATCACCTCGGTGCGAAAACCAGGACACGTGGCACCTCGGCTAGCACTTCGGTGCCACCTTGGCCACGTGTTGTTATCCAAAAAATATGTCCCTACAACTGCCCCCTAGGTTCTATTACCTCAGCATCCTGAGGTGATAGAACCTATATCATTTGAACCTATAACACATCGGCTAGATTTACTCTATCCTTTATTTCCGAGGTCATCATTCGTCGACTCCATATGTCCAAGACTTGTAGTCTGTTTTTATCAATGCCTTGCCAAAAGCCAAGTTTTTTCAAGTTCCTTAACCGAGATCGTTTCCTTAGCTGAGGTCTTTGCCACGTGTCCCTTCCTTATTGAACCATATCTGACACGCGCCATCAGGTCGCGTCGCTTCTGCGCGTGCCGCCTGACAAGCACGTCATCTCAAGCACATTTAATGAATACTTTGGCGCTTTTTCGTGTTTTATCAAAAACACTTCCCTCTTTCTTCGTCTCTTCACTTTTGCATCCTTGTTTTTTTCCAAGCTTTCAAACTTTCTCTCTCCAAAAATCCCCCAAATCCTCCATTGTTTCAAGCTCTCAAGCTCTGCAACCTGCTCCGTTCATCCCTTCCAGTGAAGCATTCATCGCTCCGTTCCATTCACCGTCGTGGTCTGACTTCGGCGAATCTTACTCCAGCACCATTTTCTTCGGTAAGTTACTGTTCCCCTCTTTTAAGTTTCGAACTTTATTTCTCTTGTACACTGCTTTTATGAATGCATTCACGTTGTTGAACATATTTGTTTGTGTTCTGAATCCCATCAAAAAGCATGCTTTGTATGGGGATTTCTATTCATTCAATCTGCTTTTGACTCACTGTCCCTTTACACGTATATGCACTGTTTTCATGTTCTTGATGTTCTTGATAGTTCATCACTATTCTTGATTTTGAATCACATTTTTTTCCATGTTTTCTTGTTGTATTTTCCAGATTCTTGCCTTTAATCCTCCATTTCTACCTAGATTAGGTTTGGGTTTTGGTAGAGAAATCTCAATTTGTTAGGAAAACTGAAACAAATTTCTCTAGATCTTCAAAAAACTCTTGCCCTAGCACCCGCTTAGGTTTTAGCCGAGGTCTTATAAACCTTGACAAACTAATTCCTTCTGAAATCCAACACCTTGTCCCTCTGGCCGACATCATGGGAATGTTTAGGTGGAGGGTAGACACCCCAGACAAGCTTGAATACTTTAGGCAAGAGTTCTCCATCCCTGTCGACGTTCATCTTAGGTTGCC